TTCAAAATGGCGGCGCCCTCCAGACCAGAAAAAGTCCACAGCTCAGCCCACCTTTCTCTTCACCTTCTCCGTTTGTTCCCCAGCCACAGTGAACAGTCCTCAGTGCAGTCCCTGGCTAGCAGGATGATTTTTAGGTTAATTCTTAAGTACCGTATCTACTTTTAAAACCTAGTTGTTCTCTGCCCCTAGAATATAAAAAAAAAAAAACTCTTGCTACAAGGGCAAGAACTATGTGGGCTTTCTTCTCTGCTGTGGCTCCCAGGCTTCAAAATGTTTGTCAAATGAATAGCAAATAAATGACTGAGAGGAAGTTAGGTCTCATTTTTATCTTTTACATAGTACCGTGTCTAAGTGTTAGGAAGATGCTAGCAAATAAAATATTGGCTATCTTGTTGACTTTTCCCCCATTTTACTAAAAATAGAATATAGGAATAATAAACAGAAGATAGTAGAATGTTATCCAGTTAATCCAAGGTTAATTTTAAATTGGGTTCCACTTAATTTAAGATAATTAGATCTTTTTAGGGGCTTTACAAACTAAAAAGACATTTGCCTATTCTTACTCACCAGTTAGTAATAGTAATAATAGCAGCCACCAGGTGAGTGCTTATTAGGTGCCAGTTACTCTTCTAAGTTTCTAAGTGCTTTTCATAGCTTATTTTGTTTGGTGTTTACAATACTTATAACACACATAACATCCTTATGCCCATTTTACAGACAAGGACATTGAGCCTCATAGCTGTTAGATAAATTTGCCTAATGTCTCACAGTTGGGATTTGAGCCCAGGTCTGCTTGATTCCTTAGAATCTGCCTTCTCTCCTGGGGGACTCCCACCTGTCTCTCCACCCAGTATTGACAGTGGCTGCAACCAAGCTGGAAACTCCAGAAGAGTGCAGGGTGGAAAGACCACCAGGTATGCTTGTAGCCTAGTGGTAAGCAGGCAAATGGAGCCTTCTCTCCAACTCCTTCCTAGATCATCTACCTGCGGCGGTTCAAGGACCTGCGGACACTCAGCCTCTCTGGAAACCCCATCTCAGAGGCAGAGGATTACAAGATGTTTGTCTGTGCCTACCTTCCTGATCTTGTGTACCTGGACTTCCGGCGTATTGATGACCTCACGGCAAGTGTCTCTCTCCATCAGCCTCCAGATTGTGAGATGGAGTCTTCAGGCCCCAGGTTTTACAGAGAGAGGCACTAAGCAGGAGTTGCCCCATTTGTTTTGTGTCTGCCCTGTCAGAGCCATTCCCTAGAGACCTCCTGGTCACTGCTGAGTATATGCTTGAGGGTACCAGCCCCTTCCATGTGTGATTTTAGCCATTGCAGTGCCTTTTTTTCCAGATAAAGAAGCTAAGGTGGCCTAAAGCCACTAACCTAGGGTTACCAGGAGCCACATGACCTCCTGACCCCATTCAACCTACTGGCACACTCACACTAGCCCCTGCATTATTCATTGATACATCTACTGCAGCTTGTGAGATGGGCCCTGCTCTTACCACCAGCTCACCAATGGAGATTAGACCTCATGACTCATGGTACTGCTGGGAGCTGGGCCCAAAGATGGGTGTCCGCCTTGCTGCCATGCTTGCCTACAGCTCTCCTTTGCCTGCTGCCTGTGCTGCCTCACTCTACTTATCTCTGCTACACTTTGGCCCCTTTCATGACCTCTTAGCTATAGCACTGTGTGTAGTGTGATCTGTTTGTGAGGACTTTCCCCTTCAGAGAAAAGAAAAAAATCCTGGTGCAGCCATGAGGCCTTGGGCAACAGGATGGTGGTGTCCTTGGTGCCAGATGTCAGGGACTGAAGACTACACATCTGCTGTTTCTCTCATAACACCTCCAGGAGAAGTGAGACAGTGTTGGGGGCACTGAGGTATTTCAGAAGCCAGCCCCATTCTCAGCCCTGGCCCTGCACAATCTGGGCCCCAGAGCAGCCCCCACAGTGGATGAAGGCCTCCCAGATGCAGCAACATGCCCTCCTCAGAACTTCCTCAAGAAGTCCATGGGGATATGACAAGGCCAGAGAGCTACCCCTCCAGTGACCGTGGGCTCTCTCTCATAACAATATGAGAATCAGAGGCTTTGAATACTAAGACTCTTGAGTCTTGTTTTTTTCATATAATAATTTGAAAGGCAGCATGAGCACAAGTACTTGGGCTAGTCAAAGATATGTTTGGATGAGTTTTGCTTGTTATAAAACCACAGGAAATCATGACACTACATTTATTAGAGCCCCTTCCCAAGTACTCTTCTCAATCCTCTGAAACTCCTGTAGAGAGCAGGCAGGACTCATGGGCCTTCCCAGGGCACTGAGAGGAAACTACAGTTTCTTTTAAGATTCAGAGACTTGCCTAGAATCATCAAGATAAAGAATGATTTAAAAAAAAAAAGTTATAGAAGCAGAGTTGTGCAGGCAGGGCACCTGGAACTCCAATCTATATCTGACTGGGTGCCAACTGCAGCCCATCCCAAGCCCCTGGCTACCTGGTCCCATAGAACTTGGGTAATGGTGTAGCCAGGCACAGTTAAAGGCTGACCAGGCACGAGGGCAGGCTCACAGGGCCTTCTAACTCTGTGAGGCTTTCCCTGAGGGCTCACTCTTATTTCCTTAGGCCACTTTTACATCAAGGCCCTAAGCAGGTACCTGGAGGCTGTCCTTCACCTCAGTCCGGCCCTGAGGATTGGAGAGGATCCTAACCAAGGACACAGAGTAGGCAGGCACTACGAGTTTAGGGGGCTGTATGTGCCGAAGAGAGGACTAGTGGCAGGTTGGGGCGTAGACTGGTGCCACGTCAATGAGATTCATTCAGTTGGAGATGGGGATCGTGGAGAAGTCTAAGCAGCTGGGGTGTCATGTCATGCAGCATTTCAGAAATTTGGTGATTGGTAGAGGAAGAGATGGGGACAGTGAAGGCAGGGAGCAGATGCCGTGGTCCTGAGAGAAAGAGAGAGGATATAGTGGCCTCATGGAGGGCAGAGCTGTGAGAAGGAAGAGGCAGATATTAGACACAATGTAAACATATTTATTAAAGTAACTTCTTTAGTAAAGTATAAATAAATAAAGAAGAAATTCTTAGAAGAATTTCAACTCTGTGTGAGACTGATGATAATAAGCTATTCTGTAGCCAAGGAGCCACACCAAAGTGGATGACTATGATAACTTGTATAATGGCAGCATGTGGGTGTGAGGCTGGGCAGTGAGGAGGGGTGGACTCAGGCAGCACCTGGTGGTAGAACTGAACAGGCCTGAGGGAGAGCCCAACTCAGCTTGCCTTTGTCTATGGGTTAGCACAGTGGGAGGGGGACAGTCAGGACATCCCTCTTACAGATGGAAGTAACAGGAGGAAGGACAAGGGCCAAGAGTGTCCACAGGGGTTGGTGCACAGTGGACTGACTTACCTCACAGAGTTCCAGGAAGGCTTCCCCTAGGAAGTGGCTTTTGAGCTGGGGGAATCTATCTCTTGGATGGTCAGGAGTTGACTGGCGAAAGGACCGATCAGGCAGAAAGCAGAGGTACAAATGCCCTGGGTCAGGAGGAGCATGTGGTAAGCAGGCCAGTGGCAGAGGCTCAGAGAGCTGGAGAGGGACCAGGGGCTTATAGGCCATGCAAGGAGCTGGTAAAAGGTAAGTGAGGGGATGACAACAGATGAGCAGACAACAAAGACAGCTCTAGTTGCTTTCTGGGTGAAGGGCAGATTAAAGGGGGGATAGGAAGATGGGGAAGATCAGCCACAAGGCTGTGGCAGGTGTCCCTGTAAGAGATGCTGGTGAGATGTAGCCAGATTAGATACGTAGGGTAAGACAGACAGGCCTGGGCACAGGCTGGGCCACGGGGGGCCTCAGACTTGTGTACTCGGTGGGCTGTGTGCTTGGGGCCACTTATTAAGGAGTGGAGCTGGGTGGACAGTTAGAGGCTTAGGTCTGGGGACCACAGGCAAGAGCATTTGGGATTCACAGAGCATCTAAGAAAGGGTGAGGACTGAGTAAATTGGGTACAGAAGACCTGGACCTTGGGTAGGTCAGTTTACTCTTTCCCCTTGTTCATCCCTAAAGGAAGCCCTGACACCCACCTGGGAGGACTGTAGGAAGTATGTAAGTTGCATGTGGGGCATAGGAGTCCCCGGTCACCCCGATAGCATCCACAGCTGCCCGCACATTCTGCCTTATACAACTCCCTTGGCCCTTTCCAATGTTACCACATCACCTAGATTCAGTACTTAGGACAAGCCATGCTCACCTGCATGGAGCGTATACCCTAGGCCCTGCCTGTCAGGTTTGCAGAGGGCTGAGGGGCCAAGCCCCTCTGGTCACAGCCCCCCATCCTTGCAGAGAGAGGTGGCAGAGATCAAGTACCAGTATACCATCGATGAGCTGAAACACCGTGAGACCCTAACACAGGCCCAGCAGGAGGAGGCGCGGGCCCAGAGGGAGGAGCTGGAGGTGCATAAGGTACTACAGGGAGGCCTTGGCCAGCCATGGCCTCTGCCTGACCCTCGCCCCCTTTCACTGGCTCAGAGATGCCCAGGAGAGGGCATCCACTGGATTAGACTGAGTTGGCCCCAGGACCCTGAAAACTTGCCTTTTGATTGAAAATTGATGCTGCTCAGCAATGCCTGAGTTTGTATAAACTGCTCCCACCACATAGTCTGGTACCCCTACACAGCTTCACTTCACTAGGCCACTTGCTGTCCCCATCCAGGCCCCATTATCTGCCTATTGGCTGGAGAGAGTGTGCTTAATACCATCTGTCTATCAGAGCATCTCCTTCTCTTAAACCCAGGGACTGTGTCCCACAGCATGCGAAGAACAGTGTATGTTCCTGAGCTCAGTGTGGCCCCCTCCCACCAGTCAGCCCCCATTGCTCTCTCCAGCCAGACTGAGCCCTGCAGAATGTTCTGTAGGCAGTCTATAGTGCTATGCCTTTGGCCTCCACATGCCTCCCTCCCTCAGAACCCTCATCCTCTCCTGCCTCCCTCAGAGCACCTCTACCTCCAGGAAACCTCCCTAGATACCAGCACAGCAGAACAGCAGATTCTGTGTCCTCGTAGGAGTCAGTGAAGTGAGCCAGTGCAGCCACACGTAGGCTGTTTCTGTCCACAGGCTGGGTTCATCGAACACTTCAACAGCTCCTTCCTGTTTGACAGCATGTATGCTGAGGATACGGAGGGCAATAAGCTGGCCTGTCTGCCTGGCGTCAGCGAGCTCCTCGAAGCATATCCTTTCAAGTTCACCACTTCCACCTCTGGCAGAACCCGGGGTCCCTGTGCCACCATCCTGCCTAAAGCAAGTCCCCTTCTTCTCTGGGCCTCAGTTTCCCCATCTCTCTTGTAAGACCCTGGGAGGGACAACCCCCCCTCCCTTCTAAGCAGTGTACACACAACACAGATTAAAGCTGGGTCAGCTAGCACCAGGGGGAAATGCTACCTGGATTTCAGGGTATTCACTGAGGTTTGAACCTACATGACACAGGTTTTTAGAGATGGGGTTGTTGAAAACATGCTCTGTGGTGGTGTTGATCTTTGGCAGTCATGTTTCCTTGTCCTGGTATGTGCTTTGCATACATTATTTGTCTTTTTCTCAACCCCTCACCAGATGGATGCCCTCACCCATCCCACTTTATAGGTGGGGAAGCCAATGCCTGACAAGGTTCAATGACCTGTCAGGGTCAGGCATTTAGTAGCTGGGGTTTGAGTTCTAAGTCTACCTTCTTCCTCCAGTCTACCTGACAGCTTGCTGGATAAAGATAAGTATACTGTTAAAAATCCAGCATTCTATAATTCATAGCAGCAGGGAACAGGAGCATGGAAGTAAAACAGGAAGTGCAATGAAGATGTCCAGGGGTGAGTGTACGGTTAAGAGTGGGGCTCTGGGTCAAACAACCTGGGCTCCTACCTGGCACTGCCACCCACCAGCTGGTGATTTTCAGCCAGGCAGACCTGCATTTGAATCTTGGCTGTAACATGCTATAGCTGTGTGACTCTGGACAAGTCATTTCACTTATCTGAGCATCAATTTCCAGCCCTGCAGGATGGCTTTATCCTCCTGGCTTCAATGATTCCTCCCTCCCAAGGATGCCAGGCAGCAGATAAAGACACTGAGGCCTGGAGAAGGGATATGACTTACCAGGGTGGGGTCCCAGGGTCAATGGCACAGTGAGGTCTCAAACCTGGGTCTGTCTGCCCTGATGTCTGTGACCTGCCATTCCCACAGGCTCCCACAGTGCATCTGCAGCAACAAGGGACAAGGGTTAACCTTGACAGAGGTGCTCTTCTAGACAATATACCAGAGACGAGACTCCCCCAAGTGCTCAGTCCCCCTGGCCTTCCCATAGGTCTAATGGAGTCCTTCTCGGTGTGACTCTTCCTGCTCTGTCAACTCCTTCACCCACATGGCTCCTGTTTCTGATTCCCTGAGGCTGAGGGTGGAGGGGTCCCAGTGTCAAGCTCATAGCTGTGACCCTGGTCTGGTCCCAGTTCCAGCCCTTGGTTTTCTTATCAGGCAAATGGATCAGATGAGATAGATCTTCGGTTTCTAGTACTGAGCCCAGAGTACTGAGTAGTCTGCACCAACATGTGCTCCATGCCAGGAGCCCTGATACTGTTATCGTGCAGCTTTTACCTGTGGCCGCCTGGCAGTCCACTCTTGAGACAGTACAAGCCTCCTTGACAGCTACTTAGCTACAAGGACAAATTTGTCATCATCTGCCTGAATATTTTTGAGTATGGCCTGAAACAGCAGGAGAAGCGCAAAGTGGAGATTGACACTTTCAATGAGTGCATACAAGAAGCTATCCGGGAGAACCAGGAGCAGGGCAAACAGAAGATCATTGAATTTGAGGAGAAGCATCTACAGGTAGGCCCTACATCTCTCAGATCCCATCCTTGCCCCTACTCCCAAGACTAAGTCCCCATTCTCAGGCCACTGTGCTCTAGGATGCCAGGCACATGACCATGACTGGCCCTGCAGTAGCCTGAGCCCACTCAAGGGGCTGCAACTCATGTGCCCTGGTAGCCCCCGAGGCCCAGGTTCATTATCCCCAGTAACAGAGATCACAGAGCTACCAAGGAGCAGAACCAAGATTCGGCCTCATACTACCAACAACCACAGTTCTTCCCTGTGCTGTAACTGAGCTGAGCAAGGGACCCTGGGGGTCTCTTTCCCATAAGGTACCCCTGGATTCAGGGTGTCCTTACCCACATGACTTTATCATCATCAGCAGCAGCAGCATTAATAACACAAATACTACTACTGTTACTATTGCTTTTACTACTATTAGTATTACTTCATTCATTCAACAGATATGAAACCCAGAGCCTGTACTCCCACCCTACCCCCATCAGACTGGGGCCCCTGAAGGGTGGTGCTTGGGCTGTTCATTGCACATAGTGCCTTCAATAATGCTGGAATGTATCCGGGACCATGGGGTTGGCAGAGCCAGATTCAGAAGAGGACATGGAACAAGGGATATCATTGCTGATATGAGATAGAGCTTGGCTGAAAGCAGAGAACACTAGAAAGATGTTTACCTGTGTTTTATTGACTATGCAAAAGCATTCAACCTCATGGATCATAACAAATTATGGGTAACATTGTGAAGAATGGAAATTCAAGAATACTCAATTGTGCTCAAGGGGAACCTGTACATAGTCCAAGAGACAGTTGCTCAAAAAGAACAATGGGATACTGCTTGGTTTAAAATCAAGAAAGGTGTGCATCAGGGTTGTATCCTTTCACCATACTTACTCAATCTGTATGCTAAGCAAATAATCTGAGAAGCTGGACTGTATGAATAACAGCACAGCATTAAGATTGGAGAAAGACTCATTAGTAGTTTGCAATATATAGGTGACAAGGCCTTTCTTGCTGTGAAAGCAAAGAGGACTTGAAACACTTACTGATGAAGATCAAAGACTGCAGCTTTCAGTATGGATTATACCTCAAAATAAAATAAAGATCCTCACAATTGGACCATTTTGGTTCTCTAGTGCTACTCTAACAGAAAATACTACAAGTGGATGGCTTTGACAAACAGGGGTTTATTCTCTTAAAGTTTAGGAGGCTAAAAGACTGAGTTCAAAATGCCAGCTGTAGAGGCTGGGTGAATGCCCCTTGACCTTGGGCTTCAGCTCTGCCTCTTGCTTCTGGCCTACTGAGGCTAGGGGTTTCTCTTAACTCAGACAGCTGCTGGCTCCTGAGGCTGACAAACCCAAGGTTGGAAAGTAAAATGACACAGTCCCAAAATTATCAAGCAACATAGCAGACCACTAATTCAAGTCCAGGAACAGCCCAGGATTGGCAGCAACATAGCGGTCTGCTGAATGAAGACTCAGCTTCATGCATGGTCGAAGCATGCCATAAAGCTCAAGACCATCCTCAAAGAGTCTTCTTACATACTGGAACCAGACTACATCCCTAAGAAAGCTACTTAGCTGCTCACAGTAGATTCCATCATGGAATTGATTACCAGTCTCGTGACAGGGTATAACTACATCCAGCTGCCCAGCTGTTCAAAACCAGGCCCAGCCAAGCTGACACATAATCTTAACTATAACATGGACCAATAAGGAACATCATGATAAACAGAGAAAAGATTGAAGTTGTTAAGGATTTCATTTTACTTGGATACACAATCAACACCCACAGAAGTAGCAGTCAAGAAATCAAATGATATATTGCATTCGGCAAATCTGCTTCAAAAAGACCTCTTCAAGTGTTAAAAAGCAAAGATGTCACTTTGAAGACTAAGTTGCACCTGACTCAAGCCATGGTATTTTTATTTGCCATGCAAAAGCTGGACAGTAACTAAGGAAGACTGAAGAAAAATTGATGCATTTGAATTATGGGGTTGGCAAAGAATATTGAATATACCATAGATTGCCAGAAGAACAAATAAATCTGTCTTGGAAGAAGCACAGCCAGAATGATCCTTAGAAGGATTGCAAGACTTCAGCTCTTGTACGTAGTTCATGTTGTCAGGACAGACAAGTCCCTAGGAAAAGACATCATGCTTGGTAAAGTAGAGGGTTAATGAAAATAAGAAAGACCCTCAATGAGGTGAACTGACACAGTGGCTACAACAATGGGCTCAAGTATAGCAACAATTGTGAGGATGGTGCAGGACAAGGAAGTGTTACAGTCTATTGTACATAAGGTCACTATGAGTAGGAATTGACTTGATGGCACCCAATTATAATATATCTCTATCTATCTATCTTTGGTGCGTGTATATGTTTGTTGTTGTTGTTAGGTGCCATTGAGTCGGACCTGACTCATAGCGACCCCTCCTTGGGTTTCTGAGGCAGTATCACTACAGAAGTAGATTGCCCAACCTTCCTTCCAAGGAATGGCTGGTGGGTTTGAACCACCACCCTTCTGGTTAGCAATCAAATGCCTTAGGCACTACGCCACCAGAGCCTCTATGTTTTATATATACACACACACACATATATATATACATTTATGTATGTATATATACACACACACAGGCATACTCATTTTATTGAGCTTTGCTTTATTGCACTTTGCAGATATGCATATTTTACAAATTGAAAGTTTGTGGCATCCCTGAGTCAAGCAAGTGTATCAGCACCATTTTTCCAACAGCATGTGCTTACTTCATGTTCCTGTGTCACATTTCAGTAACTCTCAACAATAGTTCAAACTTTTTTGTCATGCTATTGCACACTTAATAGACTACAATATAGTGTAAGCATAGCTTTTATATGCCTTGGGAAACAAATAAAAAAGTTGTGTCACTGGTTTCATTGTGATATTTGCTTTACTGTGGTGGTCTGGAACCAAACCTGCAATATATCTCCAAGGTATGCCTTTGTGTGTGTGTGTATATATACACATACCATGTATATATATATATATATTGTTGTTGTTATGTGCCATCAAGTCAGACCCGACTCATAGCGACCCCTCCTTGGGTTGCCAAGGCAGTATCACTATGGAAGTAGATTGCCCAACCTTCCTTCTGAGGAGTGACTGGTAGGTTTGAACCGCCAGCCTGCAAGGCTTCTGGTTAGCAGTCAAGTGCCTTAGGTATTATGCTACCAGAGCTCCTACACACACACACACACACACATATGGACACACATATATATGTATGTATGTATGCATATATATGTGTGTATATATGTATATACATTTGGATATATTTATATATGTGTGTATATATATGTATTTATGTATGTATGTGTTTATACATATACATATATATATACATATACACACATACATATAATGTGTGTGTATATATGTGTGCGCGTGTGTATGTATATATATGTATATGTATAAACCATATGTATATGGTTAAGGCATTTGGCTACTAACTAACCAAAAGCCCAGTGGTTCAAACCCACTAGCTGCTCCATGAGAGAAATATGAGACTGTCTGCTTCCATAAAGATTTACAGCCTTGGAAACCCAACGGGGGTTGCTATGAGTTGGAATCAATTCAATTGCAGTGAATTTGGTCTCGAGTTTTTAAAATATATATAAATGAATACATACATATGTATTGTATGTATGTATATACAAAACCAAATTATATATGTGGTGTACTTTGCTTTGCTGGAAGGGCTCTGGTTATACAGCAGTTAAGGCATTTGGCTGCTAACCAGTACGTGAGTGGTTCAAACCTACCAGCTGCTCCACAGAAGAAAGATGAGGCAGTCTGCTTCCATAAAGATTTACAGCCTTAGAAACCCTATGAAGGAAGTTCTGCTCAGTCCTGTAGGTTTGCTATGAGCTCTGTCCTGAACGAAGTGCAGCCAGAATGCTCCTTGGAGGCGAGAATAGCCAGACTTCGTGTCACATACTTCGGTCATATTGTCAGAAGGGACCATTCCCTGGAGAAGGATGTCATGATTGGTAAGGTGGAGGGTCGACGAAGGAGGGGAAGGCCCTCAGTGAGGTGGATTGACATGGCGGTGGCTACAATGGGCTCATGTGTAGCAAGAATTGTGGAGCTGGCTCAGGACTGGGCGGTGTTTCATTCTCCTGTGCATAGGGTCTCTATGAGTCGGAGACAACTCAGTGGCACCTAACAACAACAACAACAGAGGTATCTTCTCGGGAAACAACAAGACCATATTACTTTAGGTTAAATTCTTTACACCATAGCCTGGTACTGAATTAATAATAGACTATAGACCAATAGGATAGAATTGAGAGTCCAGAAATAAATCTTTACATTTATGACAAAGGTGCTAAGTCCATTCAATGGGGAAAGAAGAGTCTCTTCAATAAATGTTGCTTAGAATTCATGCACTCTTCACATGCAAAAGAGTGAATCAGGACCCATGCCTCACACTATACACAAAAACTAATTCAAAACAGATCAAGGGGAGTTCCAGTAAGATGGAGGAATAGGCAGGAAGACTGCACAGACCCTCTTAAACAAAGAAAAGGGGAACTGATTAACACAGATACAAAAGATAATCCTGGACCTCTGATCCTTGAAGGGAAGGATATAGAAGTGGACTAAATTCCAACTAGCAGAAGAATTTGCATGAAAACACCAAAAAAGGAGACATGCAGAGCTGTGGTGTGACAGCTATCCTCATGGCACAGACAGCTTGGATATTGCCAGACCTAAGAATTAACCTAAAAATTGGCCCTGATAGCCAGGGACTGCATGGAGGACTACTCTAGTGGCTGGAGAATGGAAGGGGAGGCAGCGAGGAGGACAGTAGGCTGAGCTGTGGACTTTTGCCAGTCCAGAGGGTGCAGCCATTTTGAATATTTACAAGTGGCTTGACCATTTTGGATATTTAAGACAACAGCATTCTCCAGATTCCAGGAACTTAAGAACAGGCTCCACTTGCCAGGAACCCCAAGGATATT